CTGAAAAGTTCTATTAAAGAGGTACTGAATAAAGAAAACCCAGTAAATTTTCCTATTGTCTTTGCAAGGAAATTCTATTTTAAAGTAAGAATAGTCACTATACTGAGCGGAAAGCTGTTTATAAATGATTTCTTTCAAGAAAATGAAAATAACATCATATGGAAAAACTGTGCTTTTTACATAAATCGCCGAAGAACATATTTAAGGAATGATTTTATACGTAGAAAAAAGTTATCTTTAATGTAGTATAATTTTCAGATGGATAACTCAGAAGAAAAAAAAGAGAGTTAAAAGATAGATTACAATCAGTCTGTAATCAATCAATCATCTTGTAGAATTTTGACAAAGAAAAAAAATTACAATATTACAATATTTCTATCAGATAGGTGCCCTATTTTCTTACAAATGCCTTAGGGCAAACTGACCATGGTTCGGACAGACAGAAAAATTGACCTAGGTTCGGACAACTTTACCGTTATTTTTTTTCAGTTAAATAAATCTGTTTTTAGCATGAATGGCCCAAATATAAAAATCTTAGCGATCGGATTTTTTAAAAAATACAAGACCCAACGTGTTTATCACGTAACTATTAACTGTTGGTGGCGCTACGATTTTAGGGCATGTGTAGTTTGTTTTACGTCAGCAGTTTAAGGGAAAAGTAAACAAACACTTGCAAGTAGAATCAAATGAATGAGACCCTACTTTATTAAACCTGTATGATTTATTTCTTTTGCGTTTCTAAGTGATAAATCATTCCTATTAGTCAAAAATTGTATAAGCTATTTTCTATATTTTGTTGTGAAATCTTCCTCGAAGTCTTAAAATTAAATGTACCTAGGTTCGTACACCAGATGACCATGATTCATATATTGTGCAAACCAAAGTTCAAGTACTTAAATCGCCTTTAATTAAAAAAATCAGAGAGTGAATAAATTACGTGATTGATACTCAAAGCATACGGATAATAATATTGTTTTTAAAAAGTCATACTTCATCATGTTCATGACGATGTAACTATAAAAAAATGTATATATTTTAAATGATTTATTTCCTTATATAGTATTTTCATCGATCAAAATAAAATGACACAACATATATGATATAATATATGTATTATATGCATTTTTCAATTTTTTGATATAATAAAATTAATTAATTCAATTGATTTTATGTAAATGGTGTTCAATAAATTGAAATTTAAACCAATTCATTAATCATAAATACTATTATTTCTAGCATTTATAACAAATCCCTATATAGCACAAAGAACTTTTTTGTTTTAAAATTTGATTATTTTGTTATATTTTTATATACATATAGACTTCGTAAAGGAGATTTCTTATACAATGAAATAATAATCCTTAGTTTGAACAAAAAATGGAAAATATATTTCAATTTATTTTATTCGGTATAGATGTACTACATGTATTTGGGTGCTAGATAACTAAATGTATTATTTTTCAAATCATGAACGCAATAATCAGGAAGACATGCATTGGTGCTATTGCAGTTTATGAAGATCGTGCACTGACATGCAGAGAAAAGATTTTATCTCACGACGTGTGCATTCGTCATTTCATTATTTAGAACTGAAAATTAAAATATCATATGGAGTATTGAAGAAAACATGAGCAAAAATAAATTGCATTTCAATTCGAACAACTTGTCGACAGCCCAGAAGTATAATAATTTAAAGCTCATTGCTTGTAATTTAAAAAAAAACAGAAAAAAGATATTTTTTTATTTCTTTTATTATGGAAACAAAAAACAAAAGGGATAAAGGTTATCCATAAAATGTTAAGGGTGTGTCAGCATGTCATTAAACAAAATTCTTGGACCTCGTGTGTATAATCGAGGAGTGGGGGGGGGGTGTAAACACTTTGTAACACACGCTACCTTGTTATTGGACATGGTATAGACATAAAATAAATATCGTACAATTAGCATGGTGCCAAGAAGATTTGTTGAATATCGAAAAGATAATCAAGGTCACACGTTTTGCAAACAAAGGAATCTGAATACATAAAGCCAAACTTTATTTGCATTGCTGGAATATGCGGTGGTATCAGAAACAAATGGTGATTTCGAGTGAAACATGGCCTTCCAAATATACATTGAGAGAGCAAGAACTAGCGAAATCAATAATCATTACTTACAATTAATTTTTTGGTAATTCCACAAATTCAGTCTCGTTTTTTAGGAAACTTCGACATATTTGACCTGTTAAATAAGAAAATACGTGATGACAAGCAATAGAAATGGATTTTTTAATATCAATTTTTCAGTGTGTTTTCATTGCAAACCTGACCGAAGATCAAAATTGTCAGTTGCTTGAAGTTTGCAGCCGTAGTTACCAAATATCAGATTCGATACAGCTGACTACGGCGATGATTTTTACTGAAATTGAAATTATAATCCAAATATGCTGTAACTTTTGTCACCATACGTCATTTGATATTTATAAGAGAGAGATAGAGAGAGAGAGAGAGAGAGAGAGAGAGAGAGAGAGAGAGAGAGAGAGAGAAGAGATTAAAAAAGATAACACTAGTCAAAGTCATGACCATAGTTAAATCAGACTCTGAATTTCATTCTTACATATATACTTGCAAGGTTTGGCACACACAAACATTCAAATACTACTTTATCTTTACCCATGCTCACAACCAACTTGTTCCACATTCTCAATTTTCTTCAATGCAATTGAACAGGCCAATGTCAAATATTTGCATATCCACTGTATCTCCCACTATGAACATGTAGATATCAACTGCGTTCATAGGACTATGTACGCAACTGCTTCCACTATGAGTGCAATTGCTTTTTAACTTGTTAGAACAACCTCTACTACACTTTAAAAACGTGTTGAGAAGTATATATATGAAATGTTTCATAAGAGGAATAAAAATAAGTTTTTAATAATATTCTTTCAAGAAAAAGGAAATTCAGAATATTTAAAATTGCTGATTTATATCTTTAAAAATTCAATTTTGGTCAATATATTTAATTGTATAATAAAACTTTTTAAAAATTGTAGAGAACTGTCATATTTTTATTTTTTGTATCATGAATATTTGAACAAAGAACGATAACTCTTCACACTTTAATAACATTAAGAGAAAATTTTTTGCTAGTATATTATTTCAATGATTTCAGCTATTAAAAATTAATAGAAGAACTAAAAAAAAAGTAGAAAAGCATTCTGGAGTAATATAATCATTATTATCATTTTTCATCATAGTGTTAAATCGTTGATTTTTGTTAGAGGGTTTCAATAACGTCGATGGATGACGTCACAACTGCATCAAAACAAAAATGTGATGACGGCGCTGACGTTTTACTGCCAAAATATTTAAAGAGGAAAATACTTTGTAAATATGTTTGTGATTTATTAGAGAAAAGGAGCATTAATCTGGTTTACTGATTTTAAAGTTCTGTGTTATTCTCTTTTTATGAAAATCATTAAAAAAGTCAGGATTTCCCATGATATTCTTGAAAAAAAAATCAAAGAATTGCAAATATACATATATAATTGTAAGGTTATGGCACACACAAACATTCAAATACTAATTTATCTGGCATATTCCATGATGCTCACAACCAGATGGAAAATATGCTCTATTGTCCTTCATCTTCGCAATTGAATAAACAATGTCAATTACAAGTACTTACAAGCCCTATCTGGACAAAACATCTTGGAATGTACACTAAAATACCAGAAGATATATTTAGCGTGTACCCTTGTCTATTTTGAAAACATTTCATTATGTGATCTTAATAATCAATTATAAACATTACTTTGAGATTTCGGAGACATTTTTTGTGAGTTTTTCGATTTCTTGCTAGTGTTAAGAACTTAGGATCGGACTACTAAATACACGTTTTCATTAAAATGGAAGAGGATCCCTACAATAAAGAAAATGTTAAAGTACATGTGTACTTAAGTATACAGAAACGGTTAATTTGACTTACTAAGGAATGTAAACTTTATTCGTATTTACTTAGTATACTATTAATATTTTACATAAAATACATATGAAAAGGTAAAATTTATATTTTTTTAATTATCTTATTTGCCCATATTTGCCTCCCTGTTTTTTGTAACATATGTACACCCAATAGCAAGAGTTATCTTTTTAAAAATTTTTTTTAAAGACAAAAATGTAACACATATAAAAGACAAAAAAGTAATACTAAATATGAAAAATAATGTTTGAACAAAATAATGGTCCATAAATCTATATTACTTATTTAACTTTAAGAGTTCAAAATCTGGACGTAATTTTTTTTTATGTCAAAGGTAATTAAATATGTACATGTATAAACAATAGGAAACATAAGTTATGTTTCCTTGATAAATGTTTTATTAAATTGATCATTAGTTGTGCATGTACATTATTAAAATCTGGTAAGATGACCTACAAGTAATATTGAGAACTTTTACTTAAAAATTATCTATATCATTAGAGAGTCGGTCCTCCTTAAAGAGTGGAGAAAATGCATTCTTTTCCTTTTCATTAAGCAATTAGTAAAGTCCAAGGTTTATTGTGCCTTCCTAGTGCATTCTTGACTGAGTACTTTAGTTTTAAAGTCTAACGACTATTTTCAGATAATTTTCCTTGTACACAGAGGGGGAAAAAAAGCAAAATTGTTGTTTCTCTTTTCCTTTTCGAATTGTCATTGGTTGTAAAGATTTTTTTGCCATGTCAAAAAAATTACACAACTTCGTACAAATCTATTTAGATTTATTTCCTAGTATAAAGGATTGTCTTTTTTAAATAGATTGCATTGCCTCTTCATTTGTTGATCCCAGAATAACATACTAATAGGATCCTTATATGTTAAGTGTCAAGTGATATATCTCAATTCATTTTTATTTAAACTTATATTTCCTTTCAACAATCTAACCTCAAATGTTCATAGAATTTATTTTAGCAGAACTTATTATAAATAATGTTTTTTATTAAATGGTTTTTCATAATTTTTTAAAACAATTCATTCTTGTGCTATTGTATATTTGATGTAAGTCCATATGAAATGATAATAAGCAGTTGTCCAAGCCAGAAACGTAGTCATCGGACTCCGGGGCCCAATTTACAAAAGAATATACGACCAAGACTAAAATTTTATTATGCTTATAACTTTTATTTGGTACATTATATTGAAACTAAGTTTAATCATTTTAAAAGGAATGCAATAAGATATTCTTCCAATAGCAATTTAAATAGAATCCTAAATTTTGCCCAATTTCACTCTTCACTAAAATTTTTAATTCTTTTAAATAATGTTACGGTTTGTCACTCTCAGACACTTCCATACGACTCTATCTTTATTTTTCAATAATATCAGTACTGGAATCCCCATCAGTTTGTGTTGTATCGATATGTGAATTGTTTGGATAAGAACTCACTGCATCTTCATACAATTGGCTTCCGTTCCGTTCTATATCTATAAAGGGACACCAGTCTCCATTAGTTTGTTCTTGTTCACAATCGTCAGATATTTGTATTTTGTTGTCCTCCCTCTCCCTGGAATTTCCCAAGTCTGCTTCGTCCGGAGCCATGTCAACTTGATCAAGTTGATGAACGAAAGCTGAATCCCCTGCTTTTAGTTTTATTGTCGACTGGTGCTCATCAAAGTTGCTCTTCAATATTCTTTTATCGTTTTCGCCTAAATAAGGATTGTCACCGTATGCTGGGGCTATTTCAATTTCCCTACTCGATTTAGGTATAGTATTGTTCCTATCTTGAACGGCACATTCACTTATTAATGGGACATCTTGATTTAGATGTCTTGTCATTTCACTACTCTGAGATCTTTTCCTCTGTGAAATATCTACAATGTTCTCACCTGTACTGCCTCCACCCTTCGTTTTCATTGAGAAATCTGACTCGCCCTCCGAGTGAGCACGTTTCAGTGGAATGAGGCTAACAGAGGGCTCCTCGTATGCGCTATGAACATTGATATTGGATACCGAGTAGGGCTTCCTTGGTCCAATACTGATACATGGCGGATCTAGAAACTTTTCATTCCTTAGATCTAGTCTGAGAGAAAGAGTATGATAAACAGGATCATCTTTGTGACCATAGAGTGGATCGGAGATTGTTAGAGGGAGGGGAGATTCCTCGACATATATAGATTCTATTTTATCATATACACAGTCGTCTCCCTTGAGGTGGTCTGCGGTGTTTCTGACATCAGGCGCTGGAAGAGGTCTGCCCCTCTCTGAAATATATTTCATTTTGAAAATCTATCATCAAATGCGAGTTTGTACAAAGCTCATGCCTCATTCTATTTTTTTAGAGACTCCGTAAATATTACTCACTTCTTCGTTTTCTTTTTACAATCCTAAACAAAATGAAAATTTTAAAATGAATGTTAACATACATAGATAAATAAATAAAACCAATGCATAAATATAAATTACCTTTGATTGTTTCAATATTTGTATGGAATTCAATACAAATGTTTATATCTGATATTATTTTTTGGTAATTTTCTGTTTGCAGCACTTGTACAAAGACAGTCAAATATATTTATGTTGAAAATCTATCTCAAAACTTATACAAATGGCTGCTTTTAACATAAGTAATATATTTAGCTGTTTTTTGGTGAAAATTACTTCAACGTTGAATCGCTCGTTACTCAGAATTTATTGCTCATTATGCATTGTAAATGTGCCAAGTAAAGGGTTTACCAGTATAAAGAGAAGTTTCTTTTTGAGTGAAATATTCTTGAATTGGATGTAAGACACTGTACTATCAATAAATATTGAAGAATAACTTTACCTTTTAGAATAGCAAAAATAACTGATCACGGAAATTATGCAAAGGAACACAAGAGAGCTCCCAATGATAATGAGGTCACTGCTATTTACACCGTCCAGATGAAGGTGTGCTTCCGTCTCTTTGAAAAAATATTTTTATTAGCAACCCAATGTACATTCAAATCACTTTAATTTCAGGAATAGACATTATAGTTTTACCTTCCGTTGAATCAAATTTTGCCTTAGTTGTATAGACTGGCTCTTCAGACTCCTTGTACAATATTGTTATCCCACCAATGTCATCCGTTGAACCATTTGTTGCATTTGAAGGTTCCACACACCCCAACTTTTTATCACAAACCTCTTCATTTGTACATTTACAAATAGTTGAACTATTTCTTGGTGTTGGTGAATTGATACACCCCTTCCGTTTATCACAGACCTCTCCCTCTGTACAGTTACACATAAACAAACATCTAATTCCATACTGACCATCAGGACACGACTGAGAACAGTTTACTCCATACGTACCAGGCTCACAGGCTAGATGTGTTTGAAGACAAAAGAGATACCCAGAATACTGATGTGTCTGTGTATATGATCATGATAAGATGATTTATCTTCAATTTTCATTAATTATTAATTTAATATATATTTCTCATTGAAACATTAAAATCAACTGAAATATTTACATACGTATGCAACCCGTTTCAGTAAGTCTGTAATTAGGACAGCAGCTATTGTTCTTGGACCTAAGAATGATTTTGTATATTTGTAAATTGTATTTATCAAAGAATGATATCTTAAAAGATATATATAATATGTATACTTGATCTTATGATGATAAACTTAAAATCTTACCAATTGTCCACACATCCTCTGATGATTGGCATCAGCAAAAGTAAAAGTAATACGTTAAGAATTTCCATCTTTCATCTCGGCTAATAGATATATTTTTAATTTTGACCCTGTTTATAACATTTTATTAACTTTGTTGAAATATTTCCTTGTTGCTTGATGTAACAGATTATATGGGGCAATAATAATCTCAATTTGTTAAATTCATTCATCTTTCAAGGATTCAGAGATGGAGATATACCTAACACATATTGTTTGTTCCGCATATTTTATTATATTTACCTAAAAGCTTTTGACGTCACGATGTAGGCGGAGACAGAGATATTTTATTATGAATCATGGAAGCCAGCACAAGATAGGAGATACACCTACTTAAGCATATTCTAGAAATGGTGTAAATCACGTGTAGATTCTAAAAAATCTTAAGAACGTTTAAAAAAAGAGAATTTTTCAAAGGTCAATAAACATCCGATTCTCAAGATGAACTAAAATACTACTTTTTAAATATCAGAGACAACAGTTTGCGTTTTTCATACAATACAACATTTATATAGTATTTGGAGATACTTCTCTAACAAGAATGTGGTGTTAATCACAGTTGCATTAAAAAAAATAAAAATTTTCAAAAGTCAGTACACATCAATTTTTCAAGATAAATTAGATGATAAGCTTTTGCCTTTCGAAATATCAGAGTCAACAGATTGAATTTCAGCTTAATTCATCTATATAAAAAAAACAATTAATTTGCTGTTGTTTTTTTGTAACAGAATTAATTGAAAAATATATTGCTGATGTTTTAATCAATGAACAATACTCATCAATGAACATTGCAATAGCTACTTTCCTTTATTTGTCGATTTGGTATATCCCAGTGAACATATTCACAGTTTAAACATCATAATTACCACAACTAAATAATAAATAAAACATTTTCAACCCATTATTCCGTATTTCAATAGGAAAAATTCTACTCCTTTTAACTATCTTAAAGTAAAAGTCAAAATTGTTGGAGAGAAGTCAAATTAATTAATTTTTTAAGATTTAACGATTTAAAAAAAAAAAATATACCAAATGGTCAGAGTCGAGTCCATCTGACCCACATCGCCTCCCGAGGCAGCCTTCCGACGGATTGTGTTATCAGCTTTTATGTCATTTTTTCAGTTATTAATGTCAATAATTGGCTGTGTTCTTAATGATTATTTTATTTTTTTGTCTTTAATTGGTGCATCAGTAAATTACTAATGTGTCATATATATTAGTTATATAATAAAGAATATGGAATTTGATACGAGGGTCATTCAATTAGTAATTTAACATACAGTATATATAATAATAAATGTTGAGGCATTTAATTTTATTTTTTCATAGTTGAAAAGTTCTATTAAAGAGGATAATTTACAAAACTTTGATATTTGGATATTCGTACAAACATGAATAGAAACAGGAGTCGCACTGAGCAGAAATCACTGCTAGAGAAACATACTTTCTCGGTACCTAGCATTACAGGTAATCCATTCACACCTGAGTTGGTCAGCACTGTGCATACACTCAAGCTAGCCTCGGGGAGATAACGGATTCACTTAGGACAATCAGAAATCTTACCGAGGAAATAAGCGAGACCAAGAAAGACTTGTGGGAACAAGATGGGTTCGATCACAGAATCAAACTGATAGCCCAGCAACAAGCAGATGGGGATGACGAGCTTCAGCTTCTGAGACAAGAGAATAGGTCCCTCAAAGAAGATGTCAACATGCTAAAATGTATTGTGATAAATCTGGAGAGAACAGTAATAAAAAATCAAAATGATATAATCGATCTCAAATCGAGATCTATGAAACAAAATATTTTGATACATAATCTTCCTGAAGAAGATGACGAGGATCTATTCGTTAAAATCCCAGAACTCATCAAGACCAATTTACAGTAGAAACATCTTTTGCGAATAACGGTCCAAAATACAAGGAAAGACAAGAACCATCTCGGGGAGACTCAAACAAATTCACGGATAAGGACTTAATCTTACAGGCTCAGAGGGAAATTAAAAATCAACGTGCAGAACAAGCAGATGAAAATAACCAGAATTCTTCGTGCAACAGAATTCAACTTTCTTCATTACCCCACAAACTCCAATCGAAATATCAGAAAATAGGAAAAAAACTACTGGAGTTGAACAGTAAATACTGGAAAGCTAACGTCAAGACACGCATAATCGGAGAGAAACTTGTATTTCCAAACGGAAACGTACATAGAGACAAAGTACAAAAACCAAAAGCTGAACAAATCCTTGGAATGGATCAATCAGAAAGAGAAGCGCTGAAGAAGATCAAAGTGACAGAATTGGAAACTAATGAAGGGGGAAACATCTTCCGGGGAATTGGGGGGACAACGGAATGCTACAACCACGTGCGCGACATGTACAAGAAAACATTGTGTGATCAATCCCATGCCAAAGCTGACCACAACATACTCGTATACAGATTTCAAGATTCAAACGGACAGATTCATGAGGGATATAACATGATGGCAGTTTGGGCCCGGCGTTGGTGAAAGGGGATGGAAAATTAAAAAAAAAATT